TTCTTATGTTATCACTACTTTGGTCAACAATATGGTGGTTAATTTATATTTTTCCGGTTATAAATACGTCGTACTTAACTTCGAATCACACTCTAGTGATGCCACCAATTGTTTGCCTAAACTAAAATAGCTAGAATGTGATTTAAACCAACGACTTAATGTTTGAAAGTTGAACACCTTGACTATTAAACCTGCTCTCCATTTGCCGTGATCATATTTAGTTTTCAAATAGGATCTAGGATATATATATATATATATATATATATATATATATATATATATCAACAATGTGACAACCGTACATTATCAAGATTGATTTTTTAAATAAAGCTTTTATTCTCCTAAAGGTATTTTACGTGATTCCAGAAACAATAGTGACCAATACAAGGACACATCAATATTATACATAATTTTTAAAATGATTATGCCATGAACTACTTGCCGCTCATTAATTAAACGGAAAAATGTTAGTAATTTCACACATTGAATACTGATGAACGGATGCACTAAACATTCATGGATATGTAACTTATCCCATCCAATTTATTCCACATCCTTTATATTAATATCAAAATTCGGAAAGTTTAAGGAAGGTTCTTAAATGTGATGAGATCCATTGAGGTGAAATAAGAATAATTAACTTAACCTGAGATCGTTGGTCCCATGTAATTTAACTTCGCAGCTTAAGACGTTGCCACTAAGCTATTTAGGCTGTGATTGACCTGTTAGACGGATATATTTACATTGATTGGTTCATGAGCAGTGACATATGTCATGTATGTATAGTCTCTTAACGACGATCGAAGCTGAGTGACGTGGGATCTAAACTGTCACAGAAAACCAGTTCCCTGCAGACTACATATACACGCTTCTGATGTGTCGCGAGTAGTACGAAACATACGCCCACGATTTCTCGTTCACTACCTCCAACATCTCAACATAGTTCACGCTATACCTCTCACATTGTAACGTAATCTATAGGATCCAATTGACACTAAAGTCAGTCAGTCAGTAACAACGTAGAACTTCATACGTACGTACATCAGTTCGAGTTGCCACACCACATTAGCACACAGATGCAGTGGTCGATTCAAATCACGTAGTGGTAGAGGTAATAAGAGTATGAGTGTTTGGAGATGTTACTTAAAGAGTATAATACAGTGAAATAAATTTGAGAGAAAAAAAGACAAGGAGGAATGAGGAGATCAAAATTTGGGAGAACACAAAGAGTGGATGCACCTGCGCCATTGCAAACGATTTTGAGCCATGTCATTCAGGGTCTCTAATCATCGGTTGCTATCATCTCGCGGTCTCCAACCAGGTAGTCTACACCTACCAACATGACTCAGTCCACTTGTCAGTGACTTCATGGACGTGTGCCATGTTTTGGTTTGGCCGCCTCTAGCTTTCTTCCAACCCACTCCTATACCAATGAACATCGCACGTCGAGGCAGTCGATCGTTGGGCATACGTAACACGTGTCCCAGCCACCTCAACTGGTGAAGTTTCACTACTTCATCAATTAATTTGCCATCCTTACCTAGTACCCGTTTCCTAGCAACTGTGTTACTTACTCGATGGTCCCATGATATACGAGCAATGTTTCGAAGACACCTATGATCGAATACTAGTAACCTACGGATATCCTCTACTCTTACCGGCCATGTTTCACTGCCATAAAGTAGGACGGAACGAACTGCTGCTCAGTAAACCCGTTCTTTGGTTGATAGACGGATATCTAGCCTACGCCATAAATGACGCAGGTTGGCAAAAGCTAGTCGAGCCTTCTGTATCCGTACTGAGATTTCGTCACACACCAGACCACAAGGGCTGATGAGACTTCCAAGATAAGTGAAGCGGTCGACACAATCAACTACTTCACTCCCTATCATTAGTTCGGGTGTCGATGTAACCCAATCCTGAAGCAACATTTTGCATTTCGAGGGAGAGAATCGCATCCCGAACATGCTTGCATTGTTGCTTAGAGTGGTCAGAAGACTGCATTTTGTCAGCGTCTTCGCCAAATAAAACTATGTCATCTGCATATTCTAAGTCAACAAGTGAATATCCCGGTAGAAGTTCAACCCCTGGAAATCTAGACGAGGGAAGTGGTATCTCTAAAAGTACGTCAACGACAAAGTTGAACAAGAATGGGGAGAGTGAACAGCCCTGACGAACACCACTTGAGGTGATCAATTCTGGTGACAGTTCGCCATAAGCTCTCACTCTACCAGTTGTGTTCGAGTAGAGAGCCTTTACAAGGTTAATGTACTTCTTTGGTACTCCTTTCAGTGACAAACACTGCCATAGAATCTCACGATCAACAGAGTCAAATGCCGCCTTAAGGTCGAGAAATACTACCATTGTGGGGCGTCTGAATGTGTGTCTGTGTTCTAGAACCTGACGTAGTGTGAATATCTGATCTATACAACCACGTCCAGGTCGAAAACCGGCCTGGTTTTCTTTAATCTGCTCTTCACGAGCTTTGATTAGGCGTCGAAGTACTATTGAAGCTAATATTTTAGATACTATATTTGTCAAACTGATTCCTCTGTGATTGTCACAAGAGGACTTTTGTCCTTTCTTATAGACTGGCACAATCAGTGATTGAGACCAGTCAGACGGGATTACGTCCAGTTCCCAAATTCTACCTAAGACCTCAGTTAATCTCACTGCTAATACTGGACCACCATCCTTAAAAATCTCAGGAGTAAACCTGTCAGGGGCTGCTGCTCTCCCTCGTTTCAGATTTCCTGTGGCTTTTTCAAATTCGTAAAGAGACAGAGGACCTACATTAACTTGCCATTCAGGTTGACTGGAGATCGTGGGAAACCGAAGTGTGGCTGAAGGCCAGTTGAACTGATCCCTGAAGTGTTCTGCCCATCGATCCAATCTCCTGGATTGAGAATGAATAATATGTCCATTTTTCTCTGAGATTGTTTCGTTAACAGTCGGTTTCCTAATACCGGTCTCCTTAACAAGTCTGAACAATTGTCTGCTATTACCTATTGCCGCTGCCTTTTCCATCTCTCTTGCTTTCGCTACCCACCACTGTTCGCGATCACTGCGTAGACTTCTTGTCAGCTTGCGCTTAAGCTGACTCCGCTCTTCATTATGTTCTGGGCCAGGCGGAATGAGTTTTCGAGCATCTATCAGTGCGATAGATGCTGCTGAGATCCAGTGTTGCTCTCTAACCTTACGGTTCACCGTACTTGCAGATATCACTGCTGTTTCCACAGCTTTTCGGGTATCATTCCATGCTGCCTCGGGGTGGACATCACATACATGGCGCAAGCAAATACGCGCTCGCACTAGAGCATGATCTGAATCTAGGCATGTGCTCCAGAATGAGCGACAGTCTTCTGTCGAGCCCCTCCATCGGTGGCTGATAGCGATGTGATCTATTTGGGTCCAACGTTGGGACGAATTAGGGGGTCGCCATGTTAAAAGATGTTTTTTCTTATGCTTAAAGTTAGTATTTGCAAGGAACAGGCGGTTATCTGAGCATAGCTGCAACAGACGGTCGCCATTATCTGTTCTTTGAGCCACGACACCATAAGATCCACCTAGGTGTCTTTCCCTATCTCTTAGTTTACCTACTTGAGCATTAAAGTCACCGGCCACTATTACTACATCCGAGCGCTTAGCTTTTCGGAGAAGGTCCTAAAGCTTTCTGTAAAACTCATCTTTTACATCATCTGAGCTGCAGTCAGTGGGAGAATAGGCAGAGACGACGAAGAGGCAACGACGAGTGCCCCTATCTTTCTGGATTCTTACTGTTCCGTTTAGTCGGACAGCGCACAAACGACTGTCTACTGGGATCCACTCTAAGAGAGCTAGTTCTGCCCTAGGACTCAATGCTATACCTACACCGGCGAGGCCACGGGAAGCAGAATCAGGGCTTCCAGTTACACGAAGTGTGAATCGAGTCGGTTCTTTCTTTTGGCATTGTGAGGTCAGATGAATGACGCTACTCGGATCCTGTATGCGCGTTTCGGAGACGCAGCACACATCGACGGCGCGGAATTCTAAAGTCCTAGCTAAGGAAGCCTGTTGTCCTATTTGGCAAAGTGTTCGGACGTTAAAAGCTCCTACGTGTAGTTTAGAGCGTGGTTTCAGGAGACCAGGAATAGCGTTCTACGTACTCGAATCGTTTGCCCTAGCGGTTCGAGGTGATAAAGAGACGTGAGGAGGGTTAGTCATGGAGATAAGAGAGGTATTAGGAGGTGTAGGAAGGATTTGAATGTGACCAACTTGGTCTCGTGTGCTGTTACGAGTATGAGGGCTGATGTCACTTCCCGGCTGCCCACACCGTGGAAGGGTATTTCTTGAGGAACCTGAAAAGGAAATTGGATTAGTGTTGGCCTTAACGATCTGGGAGCGTGACTGCAGAGCCCAAAGGACAACTTGAGGCCGGTCGCGCACGGCCATATCGTGGGAGTTTTTTATTGTATTATCTCGGTTCTTTAAACGGCCTTATTGCCGGAGACGGAAATCCGTGAGGTAAGGTAAGGTGTGACACTTTTAGGGTGGACCTTTTCTAACCACTTCCTTCCTTGTGAGAAAGCAGCATCGCTGTCATGCTGGTTGTCCGAGGGAAACACCTTACTGCTGTCACACCCCTCTACAGTCAGCAGTACGACTTCGCCCTCAGACCTTGGGTTGCTGCTTTTAGTCTTACCGTTCTCCAATCGACCTGCCTGGCATGGTAGAACCTACAGTAACATACGTTCCAGCCAATATAGCTCGGTTGGGTCATCACGATAGGCAAGCCCGACCACCGCGCCAAGGTAGCAGCTTCGATCGGGAATAGACACTAAAAAGGGTACAACATTAGTTACAATTCGACAATCAATCAGTTGTATGCTGTTATATTCCTTTCTTAGAGAGGATGGCTTATATATATAAATACATACGTTTGGACGATGGAATTAATAACGATTCACTGAACTGGTTGTGGTTCCAAAGATCATAGTCGGTTAATAGAAACAACTCTAGCGCTGGTATACATCATTGTACTTTGATTTGCAAGATAGGTAAATTTTTTATAACACAACATGAAATTAATATTTCAGTTATCTTTTCTTAACAAAAACATTAATACATACTCCTGAAAGAAATAAGACAATTCCATATTTTGAGAGGCGGAGAACAGTATCAACATTTTGATAAATACACAATAAAAAATAAACAGAAGTCAACCATATTAGAATAGAGAACATTAACCACCCTTTAAAGTGCCACTCAATTTCTTTTTGGAAATTAAACCGAACATGCGAGTTTAACTTAACAGATAAAAAATGACGATAGAAATGCACCAGTCAGGCTTAATCAAAATTACCATATACAATTTAATTTATAAATTTTAACTTTAAACATCTGTAACATATGGATTGTAATCATAATTATTATTATTATGTATATCTGTAGTCGGAAGGGCAATACTATTATTTTTCATCGTGTGTCCTGTGTACAATAATCGATCAGATGATTTCGATTCTTTCCGATTCATTACAACATCATGATCATCTCCATGTAATAATCTATTTTTATCATGTTTGTGTTTTATTTGTCTTTGACTGTGTAATTTTGAAGTTCTCATTGACGATCCCAACGTCGGTGAGGATGATGAGGATGATATCAATGACAATGATGCATTCGAAGAACCAGATGCGGATTTTACACGGTTTGATGGTACTGGGGGAGGTGGTGGATGTTTATTAGTATTATTCTGTTTAGTTGATAATTTGTTAGGAAATTTCTCTTCAGAATATAATGATATGTGGTAGCTTGTACATGATGTTGTTGAATTAGACAAACTCAATTGTTTTTGTCTAATCTGATCATTGGATTTAAGATAAGCGAAAGAACTTATTCTCGGTAGTTTTGGTGGTGGTTTTAATGTTGGTCTTATTGTTAACGGTTGTAAGATTGATGTTGTTGTTGGCGGTTGAGGCCAAGGAATAGTTGACATTTTGGTTGAATAAACATTACGATTAGAAAATGAATCTTTCAATAATGAATGAAATTCACTACCCGGTGTACTATGACGTATACTTGGTTTAAATTGTTTTGGTTGTGGACGTTTCATCAGTAACACAATAATTATGATTAAACTAATCAACGCAACACTGAGAAGACAACCTAATACCAGTGTAGTCAATCGTACATTAATTAAAGGATAGTAGTAAATTGGTGGAGATGCTAATATTGCCAAGTTGGGGAGGGCGATGTAGAGAAATGGTTAGAAAATTGACAGAAAAAAAATTATATCAATCAATAAAATAATATAATTTGCGGATTGCAAACGCTACAAACCGAACGGTGATCAAGTTGAGACGGATATAATCTACAAATTAAACCAATCTCTACAAAACCCCTCCGACTAATATCGTAATTTTAAAGTTTAAATCACAAAATGATCTTGGACCGCCATTGAAAACCTGGAAGCACTGGATGGCCATCCGATCCTAGTGTGAGACTCGTCAGTGGTGCGCATCCACAAACCCATACGCGGGAATCTGAACCAAGACCTCTGGCCATGCGACAAAATGCTTAATCTCTAGACCGCAGAACCAGGATTTAACGGTGTTAATGTCTAACCTCAAGCAATTCACGATCGTAATTGTTACTTATTGACAATTACTCATATGATTATGTAGGTGTAGTCACTTGCGATATTAATAACTGTCCTAAGTTGGAGGGATATAATGTAATGTGATGGAGGGGCGATATACTTGTCAAATGAGATAATGAAGTGATGAATCTTTACCGACTCAGATGTTTAGGATATGTATTGCATATGATCAACAGTTTTTACATTTACAGTCCTGTCTATCCGCTTTGGCATTAAAATATGATTTTAAATGTGTAGGATTATTCTGAAAATGAGCTGTGTAAATCTATTATAAGCGCCTCTTTATTTATATTAGTTGTGATCTACTATTCAGTTTATTCTAACGGCTTTGTATGAGTATTAAATTTATGGGATGTGGCTAACAATAGTATCCACTGTACCTGTTTCATCCAATTTGGGATTCGTCAGTTGGACGTACCTGGATCTCGGAATGAATTTCATCTCTGAGATATACATACAATCGACTGGTGAGTCTTAAATAAGACGAAATACGCATCCTGAATTCCACTACTACCACATTACATTCATTCTAAGACTAACTTATGTCATAATCATTGTATCAAGGCAATCTACTTAGGATTTCCAATTAACTTACATACGCCTGTTACTCCTCGTGAAGGAGCATAGGCCGCTCACCAGCATTCCCCATCCAATCCTGTCCTGGGCAATCGTTTCTAGCTCCGTCCAGTTGTAATTCATCGTTTTCATATCTGCTTCTATTATCCGACGCAATGTGTTCTTTGGCCTTCCTCTTTTCCGCTTCCCTTCAGGATTCCAAGTTAGGGCTTGCCTCGTGATGCAGTTTGACGATTTGCGTAATGTATGTCCTATCCATTTCCATCGTCGTTTCCTAATTTCTTCTTCAGCTGGAAGCTGGTTTGTTCTCTCCCACAGAAGGCTATTGCTGATGGTATCCGGCCAATGGATGTTGAGTATCTTGCGTAGACAGCTATTTATAAATACCTACACCTTCTTGATGATGGTTGTAGTAGTTTTCGAAGTTTCAGTTCCGTACAGTAGAACTGCCTTGACATTCGTATTGAAGATTCTGACTTTGATATTGGTTTAAAGTTGTTTTGAGTTCCATATCTTCTTCAAGTGTAGGAATGCTGTCCTTGTTTTGCTAATCCTCGCCTTTACGTCTGCATCGGATCCTCCTTGTTCATCGATGATGCTTCCCAGGTATGTGAAGGACTCTACATCTTCCAGAGTTTCGCCATCAAGAGTGATTGGATTGCTGTTCTCCGCTTTGAATTTGAGGACCTTAGTTTTCCCTTTGTGTATGCTGAGGCCTACTGATGCAGAGACTGCTGCTACACTAGCTGTCTTCATCTGCATCTGTTCGTGTGTACGTGATAGGACGGCTAGGTCATCTGCGAAGTCCAAATCGTCTAATTGATTCTGAGCTGTCCATTGTATTCCGTGTTTTCCTTCAGATGTCGAGGTCTTCATAATCCAGTCGACCACCAGAAGAAAGAGGAAGGGAGAGAGTAGACAGTCTTGTCTAACTCCGGTCCTTACTTGGAATGCATCTGTCAGCTGTCCTCTATCCACGACTTTGCACTGTAGTTCATCATATGAGTTCCACCTGCAGCTCTCCCAGAGTTACTGCCGGTCCCAAGCCAAGGGTTGGGCATGGAGTTAGCGACTCCATCCAGTAGAAAACTAACTCGCTAAAAAAAACGCTAACTAGAAAGATATACCAATTAAGACTAACCAAAATTCAGTCAACAACTGGATAATCCAAACCATTGTGAATGAAATTAAGCTTTATGCGCTGTTATCATTCTGACGAGAGTTGATTAACCAACATTTCATAAAAATCATGTACTGTTTTAAGCTAATATTACCAATGAATTCCTCTTTAAGTGATTAGATGTTATGTAATTGAGCTTGTTTAACATGTATTTTCGTGTTTTAGTCAACTTTATTCTCTGATATTAGCTTCTTCGTATCCCTTACTAAGTGAAGAAATCATACAAATGAGTCGTTATTGGAATTGTGATGTAACAGTTACGTGCTGATATGTTGAGCGAGCATATACATCAGATGCTTGTGAACATATGACATCTAAAAAGCAAATGTTGAGAAATTGTCAAAGAGATACTCTTTTCAATAAAGCCTACCCAAGGTCTACGCTTATTTATCTCGTTCAGAAGGACAATCGTTTGGGTACTTATGATTTGGATACGTTGAAACGTGATTTGGTAATTAAACCTTCCCATTCATATGACGTACATATATTGGCTAAATCGGACTGTCAGTAGCGACTTGAGTTAACCTCAGGACTCAAAGGACCTTGTTTTCGTCTTTGGCGAATTTATGAGCCCAGACGTGATGAACTAACGATATATTTTAGTCTGAATACTCGCGAATTTTTTAAACCTGCTCTTTTATTGATTACCATTGTTCGTCAGAGAAAGTCTTATGCTGAGGACTCCTTTATAATGCGCGCAAAAAATGTTCACAAACTACCTGGTACAGGTTCGGCTAATTCTTCAAAACGATATCGCCAAAATGCCATATCTGAAGATCTATAATGATATTTAATTGAACTATTCAATTCAATGTGAAGATAAGCTTCTTCCGGTTGTTTAAAATTTGGCCATTTAATATTTTTCACATTCTGTGGAGTTGGATTTCTAAAAGTTTAAGATGATAATTATTATTACTGATATAATAAAAATTGGTAATAAATGAAGTATCATAAATACTTAAATAGTACGTACAGTTAGTTTTCTCTTTGGAATCATTTTATGCTAGTTTGCATTTCCCAGTTTTACATATCCCAATTATTGACTGAGTTGATATTCCCTATGGGATATGAACCAGAGTCGCCATTTTCACAGCCAGATATGTCGGTACAGAACTATTCGAGTTGTGACTGACCTGTAGGTCATAAATGTTTACACTAACCGACCATAATAGTTACTATTGTCCTGGGTTGTATATTTACTAGTACTGGTAGAATTCTGTCTGACGACGTTGCAATGCGGGCTTCATTTTAAGTGACTCGATTCCATGATGAATTATTTTTGGCTGTTAAGTAAGTAGAGGCAATCATCAACAGCCCCCGTATCCGTGTTTCATGTTAGTTAACGTTCGTTAGGAAGGTGTATCTGCAATCTTACAAAGCTGTTACACTGTTATCCCATTTCAATCTTTATTCAACAACTTACCCATATTTCACAAAATTTGCCCATAAATCCAATAAATATTCACTGATATTTGTATCATATGGATAAACATAATTGTCTGATACACATCGGGGTAGCGGATTATTCTCGCCAAATAATGTTAGCCAAATTGATTTATTCATAAAAGGGAATCCGAATAGAAAAGGCAATTCAATTCCATGATAAATTCCTAAAAATATAAGTAATGCAATGTGATTATTGTTTATCAAATACTACTGTGAATATTCTTTAATGAATCATGTTCATCAGTAGTATATATGTCAACTTATTAAATATTTTTCACTGATATCAACTAAACAACAATGTTTTGTCAGAATATTTGATTTTTCTAAAATAAATTCGTATCTGAATTATCCATAGATTGGATATGAATTCATTTGAGAAAACATTCGGATTCTAAATCAAGAAAATGCAAAGTATCCTAGAGACGTTCTGAATACATGGCATTCATTTCAATCTTTAGTCAATAGACATATCAACATAGACCTTATATACTAAATTATGGGGTAAGTGGTTAATTAGTTATGTATTCAGAGGTCAACCAAACAAAGTATTCAATATTAATGCGAGGGTAATGAAGCCAATAAAGCTTCCAAAGATCCCAAGCTACCGAGAGTATCATCACAACACGTTGAATAAGCTCCTGAGAAATAGTTAAACCTCTCACGTCTAATTGAAATAAATTCTAATGATGATCAGAATGACAAATAAAGCTTCGCAATTTAATTACTGAACTCAGAGAATACAATTAAATACATCCACTTGAAACTGCACATCTCCAACATTCCAGCATAATTTTAGCTATTCTGGTTCATTGATTACCCATTTGGATATTAGTATCACATATTAACATATCAACTTTGGAAAAACAAAGAAAGTCAACTAGCTTTGAAGTGAATTCCTTGAATTTTTAATGAGTAACTCTTAACTACAGAGTAAACCAAGTTAAAAGTAAAGCATTAAACTTGTGAATGACATTGAATAAGAGGGTGCTACTGCGAATTAAGATTGAAAATCTAGTCTTATCGTTAGAAACATAAACACTATAATATCACAATTTCATTCAGCATCGTGAATGAACACTACTGATTCATTTATTTATTCATTTAAACACGTAAACATTGGTAAGGTGGAGCAACAAAATATATATGCAGTACACTCATCATTTAATTTATATTTGAGCTAGAATACTGTCCAAGCGCCCAAACCGAAGCAGATGTTTTTCATGGGGGACCACTCCCCGAACCTTTGACCTAAAAGTCTGACCCACAAAACGGTGGAGCAGCGTCAGGAGATACAGTCCCATGGTAGCTGGTAACCAACAATAGGTTCATACGCCATTTGCTTCCTTAGGATCGTAGAGCCCATCAGGGTTTTCCAACTCCCCTACGTGGATCCTCCATATCCACCAACCCGGTTAGAGCACAGGACATTCTCTTTTCGTACTCTCATTTTCGTAAACAACACCGCCGCCGCGAGAAAGCAGTGAGTAGGACTTTCCTGACAGTTGTTTTGTGCACGTGGCCATATGAGAACAATTCGAGAGAGAGCTGACTCTCCCCACTCTTTGACGTACCAGGATTTGGGGGGGGTAAGTTAGGGCGAAGAAGTTATTCAGTTCTTCCTGACTTTCTTGATTCGAAAGTTCTCCAGTTAACTATTTATTGCTCTGATTAATGAAAATTACCTTTGAATCATATAGAAAATCACTTAATCAAAATACACAATAACTATTTATAGTGAATTTAATCGAAACGAACAGTTATAGAGTGAAAAGAAGAAAACACAATGAGTTCTGTGAATAAGCTATAAATAGGTTGTTTTTGTTGTGACAGAGAAAAGATATGAAGTCAACACTGTGACTCACGTGTTGACCAATGATACTATCGCATGAAAATTTGACATTGTTATTTCAAACTCATTATACAAGTTTTAGACTCTTTTTTTCATAAATTACAGTCCAAATCGAATATACCTAATGATTCACCGTAATTACCTTATACTGAAACTAACACCACCTAACATACCATGAAGTGTTATTGTTGATTTACAAGATAATGTAGTTATCTTCTAGTATTGCTGCGTTCACTGAGCTAGATGATTTAATTGAAAAGCTCTCGTTGTCGTTTTGCGTAATATCGTCAGCACCTACTTCATGCAGTGAAGTTTGCGCTTATGGCCTTGATTGTCGTTGGTTATCCTCGTAGATTTCATCGTTTTCAGATATCACCGTGTTCAAGTTGACTGTTTTGCCCCTTAGATCTTTGGCCAGTTTATTTATTACTTAACCTTTCTCGAATGGATTAGTAGATCAAGTATAAACAGGTGTGCCTATCGGTCGCTCATTGATCTGAACGCCTTGATTCCATGCTTCCTAGAATTACCACCACACCGATGCGTTTATCTGCATAAAACTCACATGTGACTATCGAATTCAATCAGATATGCTAATTAGTTGTAAGCATACTGTTTATCGAAATAAATTTATAAGACATCTATGCTGTGAAAAAGTTTGTTTCAAGATGATTACAGCTTTTTGACTCGAACAAAGACATCCTGAAGGCAAAGGTTTTTACAGTTTAACCGACCCGATCTGCAGTAAAATCATTGTGCATTAATTAACCAGTAGGGAAGATAATTTTTAAAACATGTCTAAGCGTAATATATATAAATATTTTAATTTCCTGTAGTTCTAGTGAGAAGCAGTGACCAATGGAGTTCAACCGGGTCTGTTGTGAGATAATAACTCACAGAATACTATGGTGGATATGTATCTCAACTTTTTGGATTGGTTGAAGCTAGACACTAACTCCGTTGGATGCCTGCTCAGTGCTATAGTCTCGCGCGCGAAACCGACAGGTCCTGGGTTCGAATCTCGCGAGGCGGGATCGTAGGTGCTGAGGAGTCCCACAATAGAACGAAACAGCCGTCCAGTGCTTTCAGGTTTTTCATAGCGGTCTAGCTTCAATTGATTCATGATCTCAACCACTGATATTTCAATTGTACTTAAAATTCAAAGTTGACGTGAAAGAAAAACAAATCATGTAAGGCGGTTGAGGTTAGCCGATAGGAAAAAATGAATAGCTTAGGTTTCGTGCTAGTTGACACTTATTAGTAATATGTGCATGCAGTCTTGAGAGAACTGATGCTTCCAGTGAAATTTAAGAAGGCGTCAACGAGGTCCACAGTCTTATATATTACTACTGTACCACTCAAGACAAAAGAGAGATATTTACACTGATTGATGACTGAAAAGTGACCAATGCCGTGTTTGTCTACTCTGAATCTAATTTCATCAAGGAAAATGTTATGTGCCAACTAGTCTGATTGATTCAACGTCACGTAAATCATATTAAGACGTCCCCTCGAGATTGAAAGTATGCCTTGTTGATGAGTATCAACTTGAACGAACTTAAGTCAAGTATGAATTCCTGAGTACTACCTCCAACAAACTAGCATCAAAATATAGTACCCGATATCGAGTCAATCAGATTAGTGGCAACACTACAACCTGATTAATAGAAATCGGTCAGTACCAAAAAACAAGTCAAACATAAAAGTGGTCAATACATAGTGATTTGTTACTCGCAAAGCAGAACATGTAATTGATATAAGTGAAGCGCATATGAGATACGTCAATAAAATATAGAACGCTTTCAGAAGTACCAAAGCTTACAAGACCGAAAAAATTACTCCATTTCTTAGCATTTAGAAAGAAAAGGTATGTAACAGTGAAAGAAGACAAGTTCAATACATTGTCTCGTAAATGGATTGAAGTTGAGAATGGTATGCTGGGAAATTCTAACTCAGTGGTCTGACTATTAAAAAGTGGCTGTAAGATATAATGGTCATGTTACAGTCGTGAGTGTACACTTCAGATGAACCCCATACTAGGACGAAAAAACTGTCCAGTACTCCTGAATTTTCAGAAGTATCCGAACTGAGGTTACTGTGACAAGAAAACCACCTACACATCTTTTCCTAGTCAAATTGCTTCCGATACAAAAAACAATAGGAATGTCAGTCTTCAAAGAAGGTTCCTTAACTTTAAGTTTTCCATGGTGTTCTAGCTTTCATCGGCTCGTAATATTTTGTCCTTAAATTTAAAAGAGATTTATGAGTAGTAATTGACTTGTTTATTTCAAAATAATACACATCAATTTATAAATAATTCATAAATTTCAATTATGTATTTGATAAACTTGCCGATTTCTGGTGTTGCTTGTTTGTCATTTGGACTGGAATAGGAAAATTCATAGAAGTAAACTGACGGTGAATAGACTGAATGATATTTTACAATAGAATCTAATGGTGATATAATTTCCATATCTGAAACCAACTAAAATGTGAATAAAATAATTGATTATAAACTCTCAAATATTTTTGTTAATAAACATACTACTTTTTTTAGTAAGTAGCTAATATTCTTCAGCTAACGTTTTTCACGGATTAGTATTGATTCATGTTACACCAAATAACATTGTGAAATGTATATATATATATATATATATATATATATATATATATATATATATATATATATATATATATGGATGACTTGGATTATTCGAAATAAAATAAGTCCACTTTGTGCCAAGATTTTTGCTAGTTGTTTTATATGATTCACAGAATATGACTGAGCACTCAATACAATGGTTTCGTTCTAGTGCATGATGCCAGTGAAACTAGCGCTGATACCTTTATTTATAGCGGAGTGTCGGATCTTAAATTTCAACAACAAACACGAAAGCATTAACTACAGACGAATGGTCGAAATCTTTCAAATCAATCAATTTATGATAAAGCGTGATATCATAAACTTCATTTGCCTCACTCCTTAAATGATTGAATTAAATTAATCATAACTAACCATCGAAACTTCCAAAGTACAAATTTTGTTTTTGTTCGAATATTTCGTGGTGATTAGTTTATATTAATGAATAACTCTTGAAAATGAAATAGATATTTAAACATTTGACAGTAACACTGACCTTGTACCTTTTTAGTCATAACGACCACTGATTTTTAATATTCTTTTTTTTCATAAAAACAGGACGTTACACTAAATCATTGTTACCATTAACCGAACTACTATTGTAGTGAACAAGAACACGAATGGAGACAGTCGAATGTACTTGAACAGGAAATTACAGAATATCTCACTAAAATCTGAGAACCATACAGTAAATACTTAATTTGCAAAATATTAATTTACTGTCTCAAATCGGACTGTTTCTTTGGCAAATATCTGTCCATAGTCTCAGATTTCATTGATCCTGCATTTTCATACCAATTGCTTTCCGTTCTCGTTCCTTCCTTCTCGATCTTTAACTGAAATACATTCTATTCCTGACTATCGTTATATGCTACTTATGTGGATATAAGTATCTCAATAAATAAATGAAGTGAAATAATTCAAAGAGAAAAACAGCCATTTAATTATAAAAGAAACTTGAAATTTCAACCAACTAACAAAGATTTAAGAGATGAAATTTGTTCAAGATCATAAAAATTCACAATGAAAAATAAAAATTATATAGCACAGTTGATGAGGTTCAACATTTCTACTGAATGTTTTATTTGGTTAGTGTTTTTTGGCGAGTTAGTTTCCTACGGGCTGGGGTCGCCAACCCCCTCCTTCATCCGGGTATGGGACCAGAGTGGCTCCAGGCGGAGTTTATAGACATAGATAATATTTAGCTTCGAGGGAATAAATGCTAAGTGAATTAAACTGTACAGTGTAATATCCATCATTTGTCGATGTTTCAAGTTCAGTCCTTGATAAAACCCATATAGCAGACTATAGATATTTTTGTTAATATAGGCAATGCTTCAGTATGTAATTGAATTAAATTGATCAGTTTATCTTGACAATTATTTATACATTATTTCGACAGTCGAATGACATTTGAAACATTTGTTTGTAATTTACTTGAACGTAAATTCTTATATAATTGATTTGGGAATATGTGACTCGACAAACATGATCCAGAAGAATTCAACAACATTATCCAGCGTGGCTAAGAATAGGAGGAAACGGTTCAATAAGACGTTCAATAATTGAACACCTTGTGAACACAGGTCACTTAATCAAGACAGACTCTGAGTTCAAAGTCAACTACAAGGTAAGTAGAAGTCTTTCAAAGACAATTAGATTGCATCTTCTTAGCACTGTCGAAGTAATAGCCATACATCTGGGTAAACCAGAATTATCTGTCCAAAAGAGATTATTACAATCTTTTTTCTACCATAGTCTTAATGTCTTATAAGTTCTTTTCTTTCCATACTATTCTTCCTTTATAGCCATCTGCTTCCCTTTCCATCTTCCTTAAATCTTCTACCTCCCCCTCAACTGGTTTATTTCTGTTTCGATGATTGGATTATTAGATTCCCTGTTTTAAAAAAATTTCAATACCTTTGTTTATTCTACCTCACTGTCACCATATCCAACAGAAATTTATTATCAGTATTATTGTATAGTTTTGAAAATGAATTCTCCTAAAAGAGTACTCTTCACTGAACCATTCTTTCTTATTTAATATATTAATGGGTATATTCCGTTTTCAATAGTTAGTGCTGACCGATACCATGTTTGTCTGATTAGTAATGTGCTAATTAAATTCAATATATCAAGTTTTCAATGTTCATGGTCAACTGTCACATGACTGAATATTTGGAGTATTGTGTTTGGATTTTAGTTAGGTTATTGGAATTGGTTGTTATGGGACTTTGTTCAGCTAATGCAAACATCAGTAAGATTATGTAAAAAAATAAAATCATTAAATTCCTTATTATTTTAACCGAACAAATGGAAGAGTGTTCATCATGTTTACTTATTGGTTTATCTATTACATAACTATGGTTAATAAAATACATCTTGTATTTAATCCCTCTTATTATGATCATTGGCTATATTTCGAATACATGTGATGTTGTGCAATTGTTTGAGTCTGATACTGATATAAAACCCTTTTATATGCCAGCCTAACCAGCTACTTGAGTGAGAAAACTAAGAGTGAACAGGAAATTTTTATCTATTTATATTGAGTCAAATATACGTAGACAACTCATCATTAAATATGTCTTTCTTATTTTAAATTAATAACATAAACCAATTTCCTTAGAAAGTTAGGAAAAATCTTGGATAATAAGGTGCGTCTGATAGCATCTCTGACTTCTGATTTCTGTCATATTCCGTTGATCCATCCGTTTCAGCTTCGTTAATTTAACGTATATATCAAAATTGTAAGCTGTATTCGATAAGGGTTTATCTCAGCTGAACTATCATTGGAAACTAGAGAGCACTAGAAAACTGCTTTGTCCTAATATGGTACTTCCCATAAGTGCCTACCTACGACTTTACCAGAAATCGAATCAAGAATCTTCTAATCTTGAAGCCTATGCTCAATTATTGAAATTACTAAATCAGAGTTCAGTGACAATCCCAACTTGAATCAATTTACAAAATAGCACAATGATTATCGAATCCAACTGGAGAAAACTGCTCCTCTATTGACGCCTGTAAGCTACATCACTCACAACGTCTCTCCAGAACATCATGAACATTTTGAAGCAATATAATAGTGAACCGAATATAGCAGTTTTAGTTGGGAGAGTTTTGTGACGACATAACCTGTAGCCCGACCTAATGGTTTTAATAGTTAGGCGTTTGTAGCGATGCCTGAAGGTTCTTGATTTGATTTCTGGAAGGGCGATATGTATGCACTGGGATTTTCCACATTGTAACAAAATAATCCTCTAGTACTCACTCGTTTCCAATGTCACCCCAAATGTGATCAATCAGAGAAAGATACAACTGACAAGTTAAATCAATCTTCATAATACCACTTCAAATATGAGAGTATTTTAAATGTTTGTATCAAATCATACTGTTGCTCTTTCTTCTTTAGGCCGTTTATATCTTTTGCAAATTTTGTTATTCAAGGTTTGTTCTAATGTATCATCGGAATAAGTAATTTAAACAGAAATCTGCGTCCGAAATTATAGTAATATCAGTGGTAGGTAGAAAAACGTATATATATATATATATATATATATATATATATATATATATATATATATATATATATATATATATATATATATATATATAAAGTGTGACGTAATACGAAACTTCATGACTGACAGAAAACGGCAAAAATAATCAACATATTTCTGCTACTATTACTAAGTATAAGCTGTATCATATAAAGTTGTACATTATAGATCAAAATAGTCTTGTAAACTCAAGGGATATAATCTGAATGTACCCGTTGGACTCCGACTTACAGTGAATTATCCTACTAATTGATTTCATGTCATAATCTAGTCATCCAATAGCATTCTTTAAAATCACTTCAATATAAACCATAATATCGCTCTTATGAATAGGTTGTGGTTTAAAACCCTATCACCATTCAGTTTAGTATTTGTGTTGAGTATCCTACATCTCATCACTTAGTTCTTCCACCATACACAAGCAATCAGTTGAAGAAACATGTAGTTTGTAACCAAGAACTTACAGAAAACGTTTTTGTTTACAGTCTATGTCTCATAATTTTGAAGTAAAGATTTATAATTAGAATTACCCCTGATTATACTCATCTATCGGTATTGAGATGGACATTTCACCTGTACTACGGGTAATATCACATAATAACAAAACAATTGAGTTGCAAATACTACCATATCGACAATATGTACATATATAAATCTACATAAACTTACGTCAACAGTACGTTTCCATCGCGCAGTATTATTCTCTAAATTTGACCACCATGTATAACGTGTATATAATTCTTCTGCAGTTTGATTATGTCGAAAAACATTTAAATCATTTAACAGGGTACCAATAAAACGTCTTACAATAGTATCTGTAAAATTTTCAATTGTGTAACCATATTGATCTAATTCTATGATGTTAAAAACAAATAAAGAATATAATAAATTCAATGAATTGCAAGCTTGTTTTACAAAAGAATAATAAGCAAAATATCATAACTTCTGAGATTTCATTAAATTAAACTAAACTAAAGATATTACTAGGTTATATTATCCAGAGTATATAGCTCAGGGTTGCTTTCACTAGACGAAACACTTGATCGGTGTGGTGGCTGTGGTGATTGTTAGATTCTATTGAGATCAAGAAGCAACATAGGTTAGAAAACCATTGAGAACATTGAAACACTGAACAGCTACTTTGGTCAAGTATGAAACTCCTCAGAAGTAAGCATCAGCAACCCCGCCACCGGGTATGAAACCCAAGAACTTCGGTTTGGTGTACGAACATCTAACCTCCAGACGGTGGGATCAGAGGTACTCACTGAAAATGAAGAGTTCTATATCAGAACAAAACAACTGTGCAGCGTACATACCTCATTGACAATAATCCAATCAATATTGAAATCATATCTAATTAGTACATAAACACGAAACAACACAGTACTATTACATTTATATATATATATATATATATATATATATATATATATATATATATATATAAATCTGCAAAAAAACAACTCTTACGATATAAAAAGTGTTCTAATGCCAGCGAACCTTCGTCTTGTACAACACCAGCAAGTAGTGGTATTTTAGCAAAATTACCTAGTGAACGTTCTTTAGCTGGTGTACGTGGGAAGAAACCAGATATTCCGTCAACAACTGGTGTCCAGACAAATGATGGAGCTCCTGGAAGAGAGTGTAATTCACTACAAAAAGATCACAAACAGCCGGTTGATTATTAATGAAATAAATTTATCAAATTCTTATGAACCAAAATAAACTTAGCAAAGTCCGTGTAAACAATTAATTGTACAATTGAGATCGTAAACCGATCAGTGTTAGACCACCATTGAAAACTTGAAAGCACTGAATGGCCGTTTCGTCCCAGTATGGGACTCCTTGATGGTGCCCAGGAACTTCGGTTTCGCGCAAACGCTTAGCCTCTAGACCACTTAGCCGGGATCCAACGGTATCTAACTTCAACCAATCCACGATATTGCGCGACTATCTTCCATTGTCTTTGTGGGTAACTGTCTCACACTGGACACGGTTGAACTCCACTGGTCACTGTTTCTCACTGGAACTGCGAGTATTGCCATTTGATGCTAGTCAATAATAAGCACATGATAACCCTGTACTAGTAGTCAATTCAACGAATGAATGTTTTATCCTGATAATTTACTGTGGCATCATCATATTTTAGTATATAATAAGAAAATACATTTATTATCATCTTTACCACTCATCTCAAAATCTACAGAAAATTATTTTTCCATCGAATTGCCAAATAACTAATACTCGTACACTCACACACATTCTTTCTGCATTTAGAGGTCAGCTTGCAAACAATTAGTGATAGTTTTATGTTTATCGTATTCCTCAAGTATTAAAGTGATGCACTACAACTTTTGTGTAATTGGAAAGGGAACATCTAAATAACTATGATGATAGATAATTCAAAGTATCTTATAGCACCGTACTGACTTCATGAATGACGAAAATGATGAATAAAGCATGATACGCGAATTCCCTATTTAATTTCGTATATCATGGTTATGCTAATCCTTATTATAAAACAGCCGTAATAAAAGTCAAATATAAAATGTTTTTGAAAAATTTATTGCAAGCATTCATTTACATAGAAATAAAATAAGCACAAACATTAGCATCATTGAGTAAATAATTTAAGTAGACGTGATTTAACATTTATAGTCTGATAGATAAAAACAAGCTAAAGACGGATAACGAATAAACTAAGGGATAGATATCCATACACACACATACATACATACACACATAAAAACGCTTCAGGTCACAAGTGACTAATTGATTATGCCAAGTATATGTTTACAAAATGACTCAAAAAGACTAAATTGCTTTGTCTGTCCAAAAGGTATAAAAGCTATTACAGTACTTACCCTAAAATACAGAAATTTAACGAAAAACATGATTATTATCGAAGGTAACTACGTATGAAGGTTATCGTTAACGATATTAAATGGAATCAATGATGAGCACTGAAACCTAGAAACTCTTCATAATCATCACTAAATAACAGGTCATACATCCGGCTGACGAGTCCCAAATACAGCAAAACGTGCGTCCTGGATTCCACTGCTAGCCATCACCCATCTCCGATTAATAATGCTTATAACTTAGTGACAATATTGAGGCGATCGTCACAGGATGCACATATTTTATAAGTAACTAATCAATTACAATCCTAAACACCAGTGGAAACATACAAACAACCAATACTTATAAGCTTATGTTACGTTCACTTCGCTTTACAAGGCTATTGTAATAATGTTTTTCTGACTATGATTCACTTATACAGAATGAAAGTGTACTGACTATGCTAGAACCACTTTAGTTTATGAGTAATATTATCTTTACTAAGTCACTGGCTTTCATCACGTTAGTTTCATTGTAATTCTATTTAATAAAGCTATCAAATAGTTTTATTTGTGACTTTATATAATTAAACGTTTTACAGTTTGAAACATAATGTTTAATTTTGTTCTTTTATAACCCCGTCTTCAACTTCTAACTAGCTTCACTATTCATTGTAAACTCAATCCATTTGCAGAGGATGAGATGACTTAGCATAAAACAATAATGATTTGTTCACTCTATGCTAAGAAGTGATTAAATTAGAAATCATCACATCAGACTCTTAATTGATGAGGTGGAAATTTTTCTGCTAGAGATTTATATTAACACGTAATCTAAACGTAAACCTTTTGGACAGTCTAGTCTTCCATTAAACTAATCAACGAAAACCAACCAATCATTTTGACATATTAATGTATGTATGTAAAGAAGTCTTGTTTTTTTACCAAATGTCAACTTATTTCGTAAGCACAGATCAAGTGTTACCTTCTGTAAAAGTAAACTGTACAAAAAAAATCCCAGTCAGATTTAAGATATAGGTCTTTGGATCTCTGCTCGAAATTCAAAACTCAACGACAAATAACTTGACTGATAAAGTGTTCTAGGTTGTCAGCATAGTTTAGTTCTACTGTTACTTTCTGATATCCTAACAGCCCAACCAAACAGTAGGCGCTGGAGAAAGTAAATATGTTTATTGTCGTTTCTTGTATATTATCAGTTTTTACTTATTCAACTCACTCAATATGCTTCATAAGTTGTGTTTTGGAAAAAAAGGCAAAATATTCGTCGAGATTTCAGTTTAACAAAAAGGAGAATAAATCTAAATACACCTACAGGACAGCATCATTAATTTGTTCCGCAGTTTTCTCATATCTTAAACAATAAATTAATGCATATGCATCCACTTGTACAGAATATGGTATAGTTAAAGGTTGTTTCACATATGATTCACCAAATGGCAATTTTAATGTTTTATTCGTATATGAGCGATGCAAATTAGCATTACGTATATATTGTTGTGATTCATTTATAGCATTAATTTGAAATGAAGAACAATTTAATCGTTGAGCTAGTTCAATTGCATAATAACGTGTACGAACTTTGGCTGGGTCACTGAATGCCCATTGGGATAAATCAGAACCGGACATCATTATTGCTTGGTTGAATAAATCTGAAAATACGATATACAAGCGATTATCAGGTGATCGTGTGATTATTAAGGTTATCCAGAAAATGGTTCATAATAAAACTGGAATAGTTATCAACTGATAAATTGCCAAAAACTAATTGACCTTACATTGTCCACTATATATATGTATAAATACTGGTTCCCCAGAGAACATCACCCAAAGTTTCGCACCTTTATGACATTTCGAAGTTGCTAAATGTTGAGTACTATAAGATAAGTATAGAGTACGTTAGGTGGTCATAAGTAGTTGACAGAAAACCCTGCCCCACTAAAGTTTTATGTTAGTTGACACTCGTCAATAAACATGTCTTCAGTCTTGAGGAAAATGATATTCCTTGTGGGACTCGTAGCTATGTCACTCAACTTCACAGAAATCGCAAGTATCTCAGTTCTACAGGATGCCATTCGCGGTTCTAGTAAAGTAATGGTAGCATTTTAGGCTGTAAAGTCGATTACAACAAGTCTGAACCCCAGCGACTGCAGCGGAGACCTCAAGATTTCAGGTTCGCCTTGTTGGCTGGTACTAACTTGCAAGAAATCAAGGTCGATTAGGGTGTTCTGACGACTATTTCAAACCACTCAACACACTTAACGTGAATTTATTAAACAACTGGTTTATAGTTATTTAATAATGCTTTAATTGTAAGCTTTTATTTAGTACATAAACTGCTACCATATCTGTTTCCGTTCATAAGTTACTAACAGTTAATAGTAAACCTTTTATTCATGTGAGTAACACAAATGTCCTAGTCATGTAATATAGAGGTTTGCCGTTTATGATAGATCATCATCTTGTATTTTATATGCGTAATAAAATGAGTTTTAAAATTTGAATAAGATAGAATAATACATGGTACTTGTTTGGCCGTTTTGGAGTTCTGATTATTAGATTAGGAACAGATAAGAATTCGATCGTTTCGCGTGTACATTAAACGCCTTACCGGAATTATTGTTCACGTATGAGCGAAGAAAACCAAAACGATCATGGTACTGTTTTCTTCAGTCCCATTCAAATACATCAAGTTTCCAACTCAGTCTATAACCCATGTGGTGGAAGAAGCCTAAGACTGTGTAAAAAAACATGCTTCAAAAAGCTAAATGGTAATGTTTACAACATGAGTATATATATATATATATATATATATATATATATATATATATATATATAGGTGGTCAGACTGAACAAAATAGGGAAATAAGGGTGGCGATTGTTACTTGGTAGAAAATTCAATTTCAACAACCCACTCACACATGTCTCTCACAATATAGCCATCAGATAACAATTGGATTGTCCACCCTTGCCCTGAATATCAAATTCATCATTTATAAACTGCACTAACTTCGATGTAATTATAAACTGGTGAAACTTCAATTTAACAGTTATGCGTTGTTTCTTTTCATCAACTAAATTACGAAAGAACTGAATGCTTTCGTCAACTATGAAAAAACTATATATTATATTATGTCACATTGTGTGCTATTAAAACTTATCCATATAATAGTTCTACCGTAATTAAATCATAGAAAGCCATAATATGACGTAGATAATTTATTTTAAAATAACTCAATCACAATCAAATAAAGTGTTACAACAGCGCAAACAACCCAAACCATTGATAAAGGACTGAGGCAGAAGTATACTTTCTGGATGAGATAATCAGAACCGAGAATGTGACTTTTAGGATTTTGCATGAGATTTAAATATCATGTATAACGAGCTGTAGAAATACAGTTTTTACTGTTTAAAACATTTTAAATAGTTGCAGAAAATTATTTTTTACCACTACGTAGTGAAAATAAAAGTGTTCAACCTATCGACTGCTTGGCTCTGCCTCTGTAGATTTTATATAACATGAAAACTGACACTTCTCAAATATTAACCTTAAACACTTAACCATGAAGCAAACCTAAACGTGGTGGGACTTGTGGTGGTCGGTATTTGATATAATCCTTAAACTTCGTAATCAGTTCGTCGCGATAACCGTTCTATATAACGTACCAACGGTATATTAATCAGAAGGCAAATACGAAGTGTCGATTACGTTTATTGCGAAACCACACACATATATCCAAATAATAGATGTGTTAAACAAGCATAGAAGAGTTGTGCCGAAAGGCAAGCAAGCGAGCGAGAGCGAGAGCCAGAGCGAGAGCCAGAGCAAGAGCGTGACGAGACCGTGCGAGCGAGTGAGCGATTGTGTTCAATATGAATAACATGGACATATATATACCATGTGAAATGAATGAGTAATCGAATCGAATAAGCGGTTAGTGGTAAGACTAGCAGAGTGAATAAATGCGTAGGCAGTAATCAATATTCAAGCATACGTATTTCATACAAGCGCAAAATAATAATAAGGATACAATAAATTGTTATAGCGCGGATGGCTTTGTCCGCTAAATAAGTTAACAAAAAGGGCTTAACTGGGTTAAATGAAAATAAACCCATTAGCACGTGAGTCGCTATAGACTACATTTTATGGATGAACTGATCAGATAGTCTAAATTCACTTGGTGTTGTTTTACTTGTATCTTCCCATTGTTATTTAGGACTGCAATTGATCAATCTCATGTAGGCATATGTACATCCTGTGCGGAAGGCCTCGATATAACCTTAAGTTCCAAGCTTTTTAAGCAAAGATGGATAGTGGCTAGCGAACGGTACTGAATTGGAGTCCCGGAGTGGACATCAACTCTCCGAGATGCAGGTACATCCAGCCGACGAGTCCCAAATAGGACGAAACGTGCGTCCTGTATTCCACTGCTTGCCACTATCCATCTTTGCCTAACCACATAGCCCCTCTTGTCTTTATGAATGAGATTAATTTACCTGTATAAACTATAGAACTTTTTTTATACTATAGTTGATGTCATTTCATGACTGAAACCACACTCCTTACCCCCAAATACCTAACCATATCTGGGAACAATAAAATAACTTCTAAAAGTCTCTTTGATTCCTTATAAGAGTTTGAAAAGATAAACAACTATATTCATAAGGACGAGTTTATATTTCGTTGTGTTTTTTTTTCGATTTACAGGCAAAGTAACCAATAGCAGATATTTATAGGTTTATTAATTACGTGTAGTTGGCTCACATTTTCTAGTGATGTGATAGTTTTCTTTTACAAAAAACAAACCGCCAATAAAAGCTACAATTTGATTGGATAAAAACTAGTCTAAATTCTTCACGACTGATTTAAACTCACCCTGAAAGTATACCTTTACCGTAATTGCCTTAATAATCTGTTCACTTGATTAACAGAGCATTTTTTGCTTCAAACTGTTTGGGTTCGTTATAATAGGATTAAAGTTTTCAGTAATACTTAGTTACTGTGTGGTACTCCAAAACAATTTCAGTCAGTGATTCAACCTATGAACAAGATCATTTCATCTCGATAAACCTCTCAAATCAAACTTTTGTGTAATGATAGTTATAATTAACAGCCTGATTTCTTGAAGTCATTGTATATTTAGTGGAAACTTTTTGTGGAGATTGTTGAATTTTACAGTTTACACCATAATGTGACATTATTTGAAAACCAAAAGACATTTGATAGAGGTGTAAGATGAATGCTCAACATTGTGAAATGGTTGAAGTTAGTAATATAATCCAATGGATGATATATCTGTGGTCTAAAAGTTAGGCACACAACCACGAGACATGCAGGCCGTTTGGTCTAATCGTCAGTCAGGTTGTAGATGTTTAATACCAATGTATCATACCAAGACGAAACATTTGTTCAATACCTACTGGTTTATAAAACTACAGTCCATTCATGGTGTAAACTATGAAATTTCAACATCTAAATGAAAATTTAACTACCAAACAAAGTCATTATAGATTTTCTGAAGGTAAAATAGAGTGTTCAACTTTGGAAAATCCAAGTTCCATAAATTTTTATTTAATGATTGATTTAACTACAATCAGCATTTTAGATAGAAAATATCTAAATACGTCTTAAATTGACAAGTTAAAATTGGATATGTATTCGACTAGATTATATAAATGTTATGAGAATATAAATAGTCAGAACTGTTATTAAATGAATAAATAAACAGGTTGATTGTCCATATATTATATCCAAAGATTAAATAGACAGATAATAGATAGATGGTTTTATGATTGTCACAACCAATCCAACAATACAAAGACTGGATTAACGATATAGTGGCACTGAATCTGACTCCGATTGGATTGTATGCTGATTGTCATTAAAATACACATGTCGGCTATCGTCGTATATTTCAACGACTTAAATCGCGTTCGTGAATAACAGAATTAAGTAAGTCGAATACGAGAATAGATTTTTGAATACATATATTTTGTACACTCAGTGATCGGGACAGGAAATGAGAGGGATGAAGCGAATCGGAGAGATCGAATCGAAACGACGCGCGGTGGAGGCGTGTGAGCCAACTTCATTTATTCAAGCGTTAATTAGTGTTTATAGCCAGATAAAAATGAGTTACAGACATGTGATAAATAGGATAAGACGTGCACACAGATATACGCTCATATAAAAACAGTCAAGGTTGATAAGTTAATGATTAACAAGGTCAAAACATGACTCGAGAATGGATAAACTGGTCTGTTCAAAAGCTAGAATAAGGTATATGGGCTTAACATAGCAAGTGACACTACAACGGTAACATGATTTCGCATGTATTTATCAATGCCAGTGTTATCCTTGAAAATTTCAATTTTATTAAGCAATGGGTAGAAAGTTATTAAATATATATATTTGTGATATCTCAATGAGCAGAAAATGTCATTTCTGATGATTAGTGACTTAATGAAAGTCACTTATTCAGGGTGTATAAGTTTTATTTCGGTCTTTTATTTACTGTGAATAATATACTTCCAAAAACTCAGGAAAAGTTATTAATACAACTTTCTACACATTGAGATATCACAAAAATATATTTATGATTTCACATAACACAAATTATGAAAGCTTTGAGATGATGGTTGGTGGTCG